CATCAAAATACCCTCTGATTTAAAGGTCTCTGGACTTAATGCTTTTGCTACTTTCATCCATAACCATTTTCTGAAGGACTGGTTTTAGGAAGTTCTCAAAAAACAATCACTGCACTGGCAAACAACTTTGTTTGATCCAGAGGCCGCACTACAGTTTGCCTTGGCTACTTTTTGCCAGAATTTTTTATTGATTTTCTTAAAGTAATTATAACATTAATACAAAAAAAAGAGAGCATTTTCCAGGAGAACACCCAACAGTGAGGAAGAAAGGAAGGGTATGCTCTTCCTTTTTATTGAATGTCATCTCCATAGATTTGCATATCCTGCGGATCAACTTGGTAAACAAACATTTTAATATCTCCTCTATTTATTTGCTGTATAAACCATGGAATTAGCTCCCTGAAAATCTGTGCTTTTTATGCCTAAGTCTTGTTTTGGCACAGCCTAACTGCAGCCAATGAAAGACATTAATTTTCAGGATATTTTTGGACTTGTGCAAGAGGCAGTGAAGAACAATAACTGATGGAAGCAGGGAAGGAGAAAAAGGAAATGTCTTCTGATCCGTCAGGATTTCGTAAGTTTGTCAGAACTCCTTGCAAGGTCCTTGTTCTAGACTCAGCAAGCCTGAACAAGGACTTCAGTTCTCAAGGAGTTAAGAATTGTTGGGAAGCTGCTGCTCTTGCTTAACCTCCCCAAGTTTCTTTGAGGGGGAGGAGGAAACATTCCCAAGGCTGGAGTGGGAAGGGGTATGTGAGTCAAGTTCTTACACTAAGGTTTGTACAGATCTGAGACTTTCTACAAGCATACCAGGCCTCTGAGGTATGCTTGTAGAAGAACCATCTGATCCCTGCAGAGGGAAAGGAAAAGGGGGGGCAAAGGTGTGAGAACCTTTTTATGGCTCAGTGGTTTTTAGGGGACTAATAAATTTATGGCATAGCAGCTCCTTTGGATGACCCATGAAACAGGAAAAGTCCATGACACTCTTCTTTCTCATTGTTTTCTCCATCCTGCTCCTCATTAAACTATCCAATGGTAAAACTATCCTACAGCACACTTCCTATTTATTCAATTATAGACATGGCAGCACTGCCATACAAGCCTACATTTGAACTCAGTTTCATTAATGAAACCACTTCCAAATCAGCACCAGCTCATATTCCTTGTGTTGGCATGGCAGTAAATGTAACTTCTTTTTGAAAAGTAAGCACAGAAAGTAGTAGTGTTGCATACTCTGAAACAATAATATGGAGGATTGTTGCACAGATTCTTGAAAAAAAAATACAGTGTCAGTTTTGTTACTGTGCTAGAAGTCTTTCATTGGCACATTGGCTTTCATTGTGACAAACTAATGGATTGGTGTTACAAGGATGCCTGTAGAGGATGGTGCCTTATATTCCTCTTGTTAGGAGTTTTGGGACAGTATTTCCATTTTGGGAGAAGTCAGATTACAGCCTGTTTAGGCAGAGATATTTTTATCAGAAGCCATTTAACAGTTAGACAAGTAATTAAACAATTACCCTACTGATCAGCAGCTCCCTCAGTCAGAAGGCTTCTCTTCCTTGGTGTCAGGGGCAATCATGAGATTTTCTTCCAGGTTCACTTGTATTCCTGTTCAGATAAATCCAAAGATCTTGTTAGCCTGGTTTTACTTACAGCCTCTTATTGCACAGAGCATTCCCTGATCCCTGCTAGCTACAAAAAATACTGAACTTGCTCATCATCTTGACAGACACATGATAAAGCATAAACTGTAGCTATGTCATCACTGTGAGTAAAAACAACCCAACTTATTATTCCACTTGTTATATTGCAAATTAATGAGATTTATCAATTGCTGGTTCACTTATATATCTGCAAATTGTCTGTAAATCAAGGTTTCACATGGAACTTTCACCATCCAATGCCCACTATGCCAGTAAGATCAATATTTGAGCCTGTAATTCCATTATACAGCCTCTCCTGGTCATGATGGCTACTCAGCCTGCACTTTCACACTTTGCTCTGAAAGCTCCTCATGTGTAAAAGAGAGTTCTAACTACTGGAAAAAAAGGCTTATCTCAAATACACATGTAAATTGTGTTCATTGTATGGCAGCTGGTAGTGGGAAGTGGGAGAGATACCTCTGTTCATTTATGAATTCTGGCTACTTTCAAAGATGCTGTCTAGGACATGGCAAGATAAGCAGGATGACCTGGCATGGAATGGCATGGCTTGTCTTGCATTTCCACGCCAGGAATTCTGTTGTCAGTGACTTTGCTTTCAAACAGCTTCGCTGTCAACTTAGCAAAGTAGAAGGGGGTACTTGGATGTAACAAGTTTTCCTTCATATCATTATCCCTCCTGCAAATTAGGGAAGAGAAAGGCAGGAAAAATCAGTGCAACACAAGCCTGAAAAAGAAGAACCTGGAGAATCTGTTTCCAGGAAAAGCCTGTAGTCATCTGGTGGTAGTGTGTTAATATTGCTTTAAAAGTATTTATTCAGTTTCTAGCTAAGATAAAATATGGATAACAGCTATTCAACAATTAAAAATGCAAGTATGAGGCATTGAGGGAGAAGAAAGTTGACTAAAATTTTTAACAGTAAACGTTTTCCTATAGGGAGAATATTCTGCACTAATTAGCAAGCAGCACCTCAAATGCAGTGCATGATAAAGCACAATTAACCTCTTTCTAGTACCTTGAGTTCTAAGCAACATCTTTGGTTTAAAAATCAAATGTTCTGTTGTCATATTCCACTTGCAAACTTATCTCTGTGTGAGAGAATGTTTTAGTGACTTCAGCTCTAATGCTTCAGCTCAGGGGAAGTCAGGCTGTCATGCTTGCAGTGGCTGGCTCAGTGTGAGGTAGCCCTTTCCTGAAATCCCTGGGAACTGACAAGCAGGGTTATCTTCTCCACTTGATACTTGTAAGTTTCCCATTTTTGCTCCTTCAGCCCCACACCTACGAACATCTCCCCTGAGAGCCACTTTGAATTCCCCCTCCAGTGTAACCTCAAGGCAATTACCAGAAACGAGGTGTTGTACAAATGAAGAAGCAGCCACTACTTTAAGTGCCAGTCTTTCCTATCCAGAAACTTGGAATACATGAGCATAGAGAAACGTAAATTGTAGTGAGCACTGGGGACTGTTTATGGCACTGGATATTCTTGTGTATGATCCTGAAGTGATTGTGAACACAAGATGTGTTTGGCAGTTACACCAGAGCTGAAACTAATATCAGAGTGCAAAAGACACCATAAGAGATTACCATGCCACCAAATGCCATCCACCCCAGCTGAATTGCTTGCAGTGTTTGCTGGTGGTGCTTAGACTGACAAAGCAACTCTTTCATAGCGTTCCTGTAATTCTGCTTTTTAACAAGATGTGAGATTCCTAACAGCTATACAAGGGCACTAATGCTGCACTTCAGAAAAAATGAAGGTGCAATGAAGTAGGGCCATGCTGCTAATTTTTGAATAGTGACCAACACAGTGTTTTTGCTCGGCATAATAGTTGCTATCTGTGTAAAGACTCTAAGAACAGGGATGGAGTTGCTCGAATTCACTATAGTTCTAGCAGAACAGGTAATCTCTGGGATTGGGAAACACTGCTCATAAACTTACACATACAGTCTGAACCGAAAGAGTCATGGTCTGCTGGATTTTTAGGTAACATCCAAAACAAACGTTGACAGCAACTTGTGCAGAACTGTAACAGAGGGCAAGACACAAAAGAAAACAATGTAAAGCAGACAGCTTGGTAATCACACGGGAACAGCCAGATTTCCTCACCAACATCACAGTGTTGCAAGGGAAGGTGAGACCTTTTAGCCATCTGAGCAAGCCAAGAGGCTATACCCACACCAAAACCTGCAAGGCAGCCAAAAAGCCGAATTACGGTTTTCAGCCTGCTTGAGTCACAGTAAGTACCATCGGCCCGCTGACGAAGGCTATGTGAAAGCCAAGCTGGAATAGGGCACGGCTGGTGACTGATGTTTGTCACTGGCGATGGTGGCTGGGGAACCCTTCAGGAGAGCGGCGGGCGTGAGGCGCGGCAGTGACCCCGCTCTCACCTGTACTGCCCGGGGACGGCTTTATTGAGCGCAGCTTTCCTCAGCTCTCCACACACACGTTCTTTTCCGTGACGAACAAGCCCAGGCAGCAGCGAGCCGAGCCTGGCACGCCGGGCTCCGGGCCAGGGCAGCTCTGCCCTAACATGGCACTCGCTGCCGCCCGGGGCGGCCCCAGGCCCGTCCCTCAGCGGCGCCGCCGGCGGCCGGTCCCGCTTGCCCAGAGCAGGGGCTCGGCCCGCCCTGGGCCGGGCGCTGAGGGCCGGGAGCGGCTCAAGCACGGCCAACTGGAAATGGCGCCTTCCCGGCCCCCCTCACCGGCGGGCGCGGCCGCCGCAGCTGTCCCCGGCCGCTCTGGGAATCGCGGCTGCTTTCCCCGCTATGGCTCCCGTGAGAGGGCTCCGCCCTGGGCCTCGCCCTGTCCCTCCCGGGAAAAGCTCTCGCCCAGCTACCATCGGGTAGCAGCCGTCCGTCCTTGCCCGCGGTGACGGGTGGCACGGCCGCCCCTCGCTGTGCGCGGCTCCGTGGGACGGGGTCCCGCCGCCTCCCGCACTTGGTGAGGAGCGGTCACTCCTCCGAGAGGCTCAGCCCAGACAGAAGGCGGGGGTCGCCTGGGGAGCGGGCCGAGCGCCCGGCCGCTGGCATCCCGTACGTGGGCTCGGCCCGCCCTGTCCGGAGGCCGGCGGGGGCAGCGCTGCGGAGACCGGCCCCGGCCGCGGGGGACGGCGGGCCGAGCGCCCCCGAGGAGGGCCGGGCGGCGGCGCGCCTGGATGCCCGCCCGAGTGGGAACGGGCGGGGAAAGTTTCTCCTGTGCGCGTCCCGTCCGTCCGTCCCTCCCTCCCTCCGCGCCCGCACACTCTCGCAGACACACACACGCTCACACCCCTCTCCCGCCGCCAGCGGCCGGGGGGCACTTTTGAAAGCCCTTCTGGTTCCACACCCAGCCGCCGCTGACATCATTCCCGCAGGAGGGCGGGCGGAGGCACCGCCGCCGCCGCCAGACGGTCGCAGCCCCGGAGAGCTGCCCGCCGGCCCGCGCCCGTGAGTAGCCTCGGCCGGGCGGGGGGCGCGGGGGGAGCGGGGCGGCGGCGGGGGGAGCGGGCGGCTTCGCCGGCGGGGGAGGAAGAGACCCGTCAGAAATGGGGAAAAATTAAAAGCACGCGTTTGTTTACTACGAAGCACATTTCATTTGGGTGGCTGCGGTGCTGCGCCGTCACTGGCCTGGCCGGAGAGAGCGGTCCCTGTCCCGTCGAGCCCCGGCCCCGCTCTTCGCCGCGGGCCTCCGGGAGCGGGACGGGGCGGGCCGAGGGGCTCCTCGCCAGTGAGTCCAGGCTGGGCCAAGGCAGCAGAAAGTTCGCGTTCTTCACGGGATAGTTTCTTTCTGTTCTTTTCTCTAATGAACTCTCAGCGGAGTTCGCGTGTGTTGCAGTAACGCTGTAGCAGCTCTTGGCAGCTCCCCCCCCGACAGTAGAAGGAAAATACACTTAGATGTAATTCAGTGCAGATTTCGGTTTATGAAGCTCTGGCCAGCATTAAACGTTTTTCTGCTTGAGTCCAACTGCAGTTTCACTCACGGGTGGTTTTTATCTATAGGTAGTGCCCCACTTCCATCCGGGATGTTGTGTGCCAGATAGTGGACAGGCAGCTCTCAGTATCGTGGGTTGTCTGCAACTTTGAGTATTGAATTTGAGAGGTCAGCTCCTTGTTTGGACATTTCTAAGAAGAACAGTACATTGCTATCTGTTCCTCAGCAGGCTTATCCACGACTTGTTCATACCCACAGAATGCTGCCATCAAGAAACCTGCAGTTCAGCCTCTCTTTTAATTTATTGGCAGGAATACTTTGTTCACATGGTGCAGGAAGGTCTTTTTATATTTCTCTCCTCACAGCAGTTGGGAATAGTATGTAAATGATCAGTAATTATTGCTATAGAGCATCTTAGTAGTATCCTCTGACTTGATACAAGGCTGTGAAGAAACCCACTAAATAGCTGTGAAATCCACACTGAATTATTTTGGCGTTTTCTTTAGGAACTTTGGAAATAAACAGCTATGGTTGGCTCATCATCAGAAAAACAAAATGTAGCTCTTTTTCTTCATTTATTTGCAGACTCTGTATATACAGTGCTGGTGTGTTAGCTATATAAAATAAGCCTTCTTGCCTGCCTGAGCAGATGTTTTTTCTATCAAATAAAAATAGTCTATAGTGACTCTTTCATCCAGACCTCCTCTTGGATGTTGAAGACTTTGCTGTCTATGTAGTTCAGGAAGAGCTGTGAAGCTGGGCTGCTGGGACTGAGGTGCCAGGTGGCTGCAGGTGTGGCAGGCAGGAATCCACACAAATGGTAGGGGACTATTGGGCATGAGTTTCACTGCGGGGAGAAACGGGAATTGCAGTTTGCTGCACAGTCCAGCAAACTTTTTGTAAGGGAGTGTGTGACAAATGCCATCCTAAGGAATGCAGCTGGGGTACAGGTACTTGCCACAGCTGGTGAAATCAAAGTGGGAGTGGAAACAAAGGCATGTGGTAAACATGGCCACCAGAAGCTGATAGGACTTTATTCAGCATAAGATTTAAGGACTTCACCTTTGCTTCAAAGACATTGAAAGGAGGAACTCTTGCTGTTCTCTGAACCTCCTTGTGAACTTGTAGAGTTGAGTTAGGAAATAGACTGTTGGGATACCTGAGGGAAGATTCATCCTCTGTGCTGAATAAAGATGTGTACAGATTGTATCATGCCAGCTGCGTGGCTGACAGGGATGTTACCAGGTACCTGTCTGCCCAGCCAGGAATCCAGGAATTGCTCTACCAGTAGCCATCAACATTAACTGGAGCTGAAATGCAGCAATACCATGAAGACTCTTCATGCTGATCAGTTTCTTGTTAGTATGCTCATTTGGGAAGAAAAATGGTGTGTTAATATAATTTCACAATAAAAAAAAAAACCATCCAATCAGTAGACAAGACACTACTGGTGTTGTATTCTTTGTTTGTGGTCTGGAAAGACTTCTATCATAAACATACAAACAGTGTTGATTATGCTGTGGATTTGCCAGTGAGGAAAAACAGTTAGTTTTATTTGGTTACACAGATTAAAAACCTTGTTAATAAAGGAAGTTGTTCAACAGACTAAGCAGGTCAAGACTGAAGGCTGCTGCAACATTATTATCTTAGACAAAGAATCTGTCTCAGTTCATAGATGCTTATTATAGGAGTTATTGTTGCTGGCCAGCATTGTTTAGAAGAAATGAACATCTCTATCTTACACTCACTTTCAGTAATACACTTGACCCCTCTTGATTTATTAGCATCTCCTGCTTCAGTTACCTTGTGTCTTTCTTTTTCTTCTATTATTATGGCTTTTATTTTGTTGTCTTGTTTGTCTCAAGGTTGTTTCCCAACTCAGGTTTGACATTCCTTCAGTGATTAGAAGAATGTTGTACTGATGAGTCCCATATGGGTATTTAGAGAAATGAGACCTTCCTCTACTTTTGCTAAGTATATTAGGTGTAGGCTGTCTCCTTTCATAATGTAGTTTCCTTGTAATTTAAAAATGAGATCAGTTGAAGCACAAGGAGATTCTTCCCTTTTCACTTGAATATATTTTGAGTTTCCACTGGCACTTCGCATTCGATTTGTGTCCTGAGCATCATGTAAGACATGATATCCCCACATAAATCAGGACAATAATGTGTTTAATTGAAGAGATAAGTAGGTCTCTGGGGACAAAGTCTTTCATACTGCTAGCTGGCAGATGTACTTTCCAGGTCCTCCTCCATGTTCCTGTTGGAAGAAGACCCAGAGAATGAGGCACTGTATTATACAGGAACTAATAAGAAAGATATTTACTCTGAGGTGAAACAAACACTGTATGTAAAATCCATGTGAAACTTCAGCACAGCCAAATTTGAAAGTAGAAAGGAATGCACAGCTTTTATTGAAATCACATTGGTCTCAGAGGGAATGCAGGGGGAACATAAGCACAGCACTAAGGAATTCCATTCATGGAGCTGTTCAGTGTTTGTTAGGGTTTGCTTGTTTTTTGGATGCTCAAAGCAAACCATGATCTTTGCAGTGGAGTTTCAGTTTTTGCTAAAAATTTTACTGTTTTAGAGAGTAGATAATTTTGTAAAATATACCTCAAAATGTCAGGTGATGCTTATGACTTCATAATTATGATGCTTATCTTCATTAGGAAGATAAGCATCATAATTATTAGCAAATACATCTTGCTGGGTGAGACTCAAGAAAAAGCCTGATGGCCTGAATTCATCCATCAAAGGAATTATTATATCTCCACTGAATGGGGAAAATGTAATTACACCTTTTTATTTTGCTGGTGAAGTTTCATGGGCAGGTTTAATGATGGTATGTGCATGCCAGGTGAAGCCTCATAATTTGGGTGTGACCTTAAAATACAACCCTCTGGCTGTGTAGAGATCTTCACAGGAGTCTGTAGGTGGAGCAGAAAGTGGACTGACTCAAATACCCCTTAGAGATGGCTATAGGATATATATTTATGGTTTGCTTCACTGATTCTTAAACACTGTGCTATGTTTGGGATTGCATGGGCCGCAAACAGCTGAGGTGGGCAGTAGGAACACTCCCTCAGCTGTGTAATGCAGGTGTTCAGTGTCCTGAAATAGATCCAAATTCTGGCCTTCTTCCAGACAAAAGGAGGCCTTCCAAAGGCCTGGATGTCTCTGCTGAGGTGCATGGGCTCTGCACACTCACCTGTTCTCCAGGGCTTGCAGTGCTCAGTCCACTGAAGAACAAACCCGCTGCTTAGCTCCAAAGCAGAAACAAACCCAAGTCCAGAGCCTGCAGAACAGTCTGTGAACAACTGAAGGGCTCTGGCTGAGCCTGCCCATGTGTCAGGGTGCTTGGTGTACCCTTACCTGGCCTGTGGCTGTGCAGTAACCCAGGCACTGTCCAGCCTGGTCAAGGTGCTGCTGCAGGGTAGGGCAAGGTGACCCGAGGGCTGAGGGGACTGGGCTGTTCCCATAGAGCAGCCTGTGTAGAGGAGCTGTGCACTGAGTGTGCTCAAACAAGGCATGGAAATCCTTCTACCTGGATTTGTAGAGTCCACATGGCAGCTTTAATGGCACCGATTACAAATTATGGTGTAAAAATTGCATTCTGGAGGTAGGCAGAGTATTCGGTGTAATCCTGTACTACAGTGTTGCTGTCAAACAAAGTAGTAGTTGTGGAGAGTTTAAGCTTTTTGTTTTATAACCAACTGTTGTACCACCAATAGAAATGTGTTTTCACACTCTTGATAGATGATGTGTAAACTCTGAAATAACTAAAACCAAAATTTCTCAACACAGAGCTAGTCAAATCCAAATCAAAACAAGCAGTTTGAAAACTTTACAACAGTGAATGCAACACATTTAATTGCTAGCAATTTCCACAGAGCATCTGCCAAAGTTAAAACAATATCAGCTTTTATTTCTACAGAATTAAATGCATTGCTTTCAATCTGGAAAGACAGACCTTTTCTGCCTTTGTTTGTTGGTTAATTAGGTGGAACATCATAAATCACTCGAGCTGTTCTGTTGTATCTGGAATAATCTCTGGATAAGCAGCATTCTGTAGTCAGTAGAGCCCAGGGTCTGAGATTCACTCAGAACTATGTTAATTTCTAGTCAATGCTGCAGGTGTGCTTTTTTAAAAATATTTTCATTGACTGAGGACACATTTTATCTGTCAAACTGATATAAAGGTCTGGTATTTTACTTGGTCTGTCACTCCCTGCCCAGCCAAGGTATTGAGCAGAGACACCCCTCGACACTGAAATGTGTCCACACAGTGATTGAGCAGGGGTGAGGCCAGGCCACACCTCAGTTCAGCTGTTTGTTTCAGGAGCAGGTTCCCGGGAGGGTTCCCATAGCTTGAATAGCTTCTTACTGGAACAGCCCCGTGTCATTGTCCCAGTCCATGGAGCCAGAGGCAGGGCTGTGCCAGCAGGCTGCAAAGGGCTCTGTGCTTGCTGACCCCTGCCCTGGGGGGCTGGCAGGCAGTGGTGGCCCTTAGGTCA